GGATAGTGAGGAGGTTGGGTATGGCTGACCAACCTGAGGCATAGTCTAGCTCCTACTTGCGTGCCTATTGTTGTTCTGCGTCCGGCTTGGGTCTAAGCCCAAGTTCCACACCATGTTAGCTGGTGTAGTACCCATATTTTTGCGTTAGGCCACTGGTATGTTGAAATAGCACCAGACTCCATTTGGCTCTGTTTTACGTGTTAATTTTGGCATTGGGATGCTAGTTGCTCTAGGACTGATCCAAGATGCTCTATACTCCTGTCCCTTCACTCTTTAGGCTGTATGCTTAAGAGTCGTTTGGTGCTCCAGTGGCATTGCTCCTTAGCTCCATACTTAGGAGTTTGGCACCGTTCCTTCATTCAATGGCCCAAGGCTCTAAAACTCAAGTTCCACTTCACTGTCTATTGCACGCGTGGCACATGGAGGGTTTAAGTTCCGCTTCATGGTTATTCTATAGTAAATCACCATAAGATAGGTAAAAACCACATGTGCTATATTACCAAATATTTGTGATAGCTACGAAGTTGATTCTTGGTTGAAATTGTGAGAAAGTTGTTTGTCTCACAATCCTTATAAGGATAAGCTGAAAATTTATTTTTTTTATGACAAAGCTGATGGGCCATGCTTCTTTATGGTGGAAGAACTACATCAAAGCTAATTCTAAACAAATTTTTTAAAGTGATTTGAAAAAAAAATTCTACACCTCATTTGTCAAGAATTTTAAAGAGGTTGATCTCATAAACCAACTACTAGAAATCAAGCAAAGGACTTTATCTTTGGATGCATATGCCCATCAGTTCCATGATCTTTGCCTTAGTCTTATAAGTACCTCTAATAAGCTGTTAAAAGTGTAATGTTTTATCAAAAGTTTGACCTCAATATTTGTACACCAAAAGGTCAAGAAGGATTTTCTAAACACGTTGACTAATGCTATCATTAAGGCTTAGATCTTTTTGCCAAAACCATTAGTCAATTCAGTCAACTTTGATCAACAGGATGGTCTATGGGGTAGTCAACGTGATGACCAACCTTCCAATGTTTCATATTCAAGGAAGAAATAGCCATTGCTATGTCAGCAATGAAGCTAAAAAATTTCATTTGGACTAGGGAGAAATAAACAAGGTAAAGTGCAATTGTTCTCATTACCACAAGGCAAGGATTGTTCTAAAGGGGTTAATAAATGCTAAAGTGACTATGATGGAATCTATAAATAATGATAAGCAATAATGTGAGTTATATTGTTATTAGGGTTGTATTGCTTCAAGTTAGTGGTCATGAGCTAGAAGTTTGATATTATACAGTGGAATTGGCTTACTCGAGATAAGTTGTGATTGTTGTTGTGAAGGAATGGCAACATTATTTGTATGGATTAGACTTCCACTAAAATAGTGAAAAGGTTTAAAAACTACTAAATATTCAACACATTATATTAATTTTACATTTATCAATATAACAATTATTGTGGATTCAAACCATCAATCTCTCTAATATTTCAATCATTAAAAGGACCTTCAAGGCCACCTTACTCATTGGCAAGAGTTCTTAAGAAATATCTATTAAGATCTAGTACAAGTATAGAGGCAATAATAAATTTGTAACGCACGTGGTTTTCACCTTTTATCCTATGGTGATTTACTATAGGATAACCACAAACTAGAACCTAAACCCTTTATATGAAACATGTTATATGTCATGTGTTCAAGGATAGTGGAGCAAAACCCAAGTTTCAAAGCCTTGGGCCATTGAACAAAGGAACAGAGACAAACTTTTAAATATGGAGCAAAAGAGTGAAGGAACTAAAGCACGAAATGACTCTTGAGCATACAGCTTAAGGAGCGAAAGGACAGAAGCATGGAATGACATAAAATAGTCTTAGAGCATAATGCTAGAATTAACATATGAAACGAAGCCAAATGGAGTTTGGTGCTATTTCAACATACCGGTGACCTAACACAAAGATATGAGTACTCCACCAACTAACATAGTATGAAACTTGGGCTTAGACCTAAGCCAAACACAAAACAAAGACATGCATGCAAGCGAAAGTTAGATTATTCATCAAGTTAGTTGGCCATACCTAACCTACCCACTATCCCTACTATACATTTGGAACCTAAAATTTATATACCTATAATGTGTAAGAGATGGCTCTCACAACATATAGAACAACCTCAGCTGTTACATTCTTAGGGCTTCTATGCTCCAACAAGTAGGAATTGAGAAGGTCGTTAGTACTTATGACAACCACATACAGAGCAGTCTTTTAGATGATGATAATAAGGAATTAGCTTTTGCATCCCTACAGAGGAATCCATGAATGACACTACCTTTGCAAAGTCTGAGAAGAATCATTACCTTTGAACCTCAGAAACTGGTCAATCTGAACCGGAAGGTACAGTGGGACTTCGAGGCTGGTGTTTAAAGCAGTCGCTCCAGAGACCGCAAAATTCACCCCATTGGCATAATTCAAGTTAATACTTTGCAAAATGGGATCCAGGAATCTATCATACTCAAAAGCCTCTGCTGCAAAAACATTCACGAATAACATCAAATGCTGTTTAATCAACACACACAATTACCAAAAACTTCAACAACCACGCAACCATCCGAGTATCTCTTCGATGGCTTACTGAAGAAAGTCATGCCATAAGGCTTATACTCTGCGGCACTAATAGACGGAGCTGCTGCTTGAACATTCCCTGTATCGACAATAGAATCCCTGAACCAGAACATGGCTTTTGGACACTGGAAACCCAAGCCTGGAGCAAATAACTCAGCAATCACTAGAACTGCCACAATTGACAAGAACTCCATGATAATCAACTGTTGAGCGAGCAGAATGTCGACTTGATGTCCTTGATCGTTTCTAGAGCTGCAGAAACGATGTGATCGTTGTCTTAAAACTCGAAGATGATCTCCAAATAAGTCTCTTTATTGCCACACCTTGGTATACATGCTCTATCCCCCTCTCTCGCTAAGTCTTCTTGTCCTTCATGTTCTAGCAGGGAAACTTGACCAAGGAACAGCTTTAGGGAGGTTGAACTAATTGGTTGATTAATAATTACTTTTAAAAACATTTGTTTAAGCAGATACGGTTCTGTGCGTGTGTCTCACTGCCCTTGCCACACTCCTGACCTCCATTGATGGCTCGAATTGTAGCTCCAAATCCTTGGTTCTATGTTATTGCGGTGTGGCAATTCGAATTTTGCATCCAAAACCACACTGATGACCTCCACGAAAGGACGCCATTCTGAGCAACCTGGTCTAGATTTTGGAGGATGTTCATGTTGAAAGCCTTTCCAGAAGCATCGTAATTGTAATTCCTGTATATATATACTCTTTAAATTTTGAATATAACATTTCCAACTTACCAGGTGAGCTGCAAAGTTCCTCTTCCGTAGTATGAGATTAATGGATAAATGCTATGTGAGTTTACTTCCAGTTTCCTGCTTCACATTTGCAAAGTAGGCAACCAGTTCCCTCTTTTGAACATCAAGACTCCCCGATAATATCATACTGAGACAGTATTTTGCTTAGCTATTTTAAGTCGTTGTTTTAACGACAATCCCCCGCAGGTTAATTTATCACACTGGATACCTCGACCAGCTTCGAGAGTGGGATGGAACCGATGGTGGCAACAAAGCAAGTACTTAGACTTTGCGTTTAAAACGAACGAGAAGAATGTGAGTAGACTTGGCTAGGGTTTAGGTCTGCGCCGCGGTAATATCAGCAATGCTTTTTAGATACCAAAATTGTTTAGATATCCATCATCTTATAACTTTACCCATTTTATAAGTAGACTGATAGGCAAGATATTATTATCGGCTTTATTATACATGACTTTTCAGCATTCTCCTCTAGTAATTCTTGCTACTGTAAAGATTGCACTCATCAACAACCAATTTCCAGATTTATTATTTGTTTTTATTAATACATACTCAGTAGTTAATTACTTATTCATTACTTTTAAAAACATTTGTTTAAGCACAGCCAAGGTTCCCACCTGGTGAAACACCCAACTGTGAGCAAAAGTCCTTGTAATAATTGATGCGGTTCTGTGCGGGTTGTGTCTCACTGCCCTTGCCACACTCCTGACCTCCATTGATGGCTCGAATTGTAGCTCCAAATCCTTGGTTCTGTGTTATTGCGGTGAGGCAATTCGAATTTTGCATCCAAAACCACACGGATGACCTCCACGAAAGGACGCCATTCTGAGCAACCTGGTCTGGATTTTGGAGGAGGTTCATGTTGAAAGCCTTTCCAGCAGCATCGTAATTGTAATTCCTGTATATATACACTTTAAATATTGAATATAACAGTCCTCTTCCATAGTAAGCCTTTGTACCTGCAGGACATGGGATCCCACGGCTAGTGTCACAATAGACGTTGTTTCGGTTGATCTCTCGAATGTATTGCAGTGCTACAATCAAAGACATTAGTGAGATTAATGGATAAATACTAAGCGAGTTTACTTCCAGTCTCCTGCTTCACATTTGCAAAGTAGGCAGCCAGTTCCCTCTTTTGAACATCAAGACTCCCCGTGCTTCCAAACGTGGGATAGTATTTTGTTGCCGCAATGAAATCATTGTATGTGTAGAAAGGATTCGCGATGTTGGATGGGAAGAACTTCCTAAACACAGACTCAGTTATAATACTGGAGGGAGATGCTAGTGTAGAGAACGGAGAAAATCCTAGGAGGCATAGCATAAACATTATCATGACTAATGCCATGGTACTTAAATTATGAGAACTCGTGGTTGTGCAATGGAATTTTGGGGCTGTTTTTATAGCCTTGAGGAGTGGGATTGCGATTTATATTGACTTCATAGTCTTGAAATGCCGTGTAGATATTAAATTCTCCCCTTGGTCGAAGCACGCTAAGAATGTTCGCTTGTAATACAGGTGACCAAACTTTGAAGGCATCTATTTTATAATTCAATCGGGTGCACCTAATATCATAAGCTTTTGCCCTAAGGAATGGAAGGATTTGGCTAGGGTTTAGGTCTGCGAAGAGGAAGCGTCCTACACACAGCTCGGCGGTAATTCGGCATGTTGGGAAGCGGCAGCGCAATGTGTCACTCCAGGACGCTCCGCCGGCTCGGGTGAGTGAATCGAGCTTCTATTTCTTCGGTGGATTTGTGATCGTCTTCCTGCAGGAAGAGTTGGAGTGCGGTGATGTTTCGCTGGAAATAAAAGGAGGCCTGAGCTTAGCTTGTTGTGACTGGGTGGAATGCCCTGTGTGTGGGAAGCAAATACGCGGGAATGAACTTCTCGTCAACTGCCATCTTGGTTTGGATTTTGCTCTGTTTTGATTCAAGCACGCTGATCGATGGTTTCTCTTGTTCAGATACTTGCCTGCAAAGTGGGAAGAAAAGAAGCACAGTGTCCAGCATACACTCTTTCACTTCAACTTGTCGAAAAAGATAGAGTACGAGGAAAGCGGAAACTGCGTACTAGAAATCCAGCAGTCTCCTCCGCTCGAGACTGGGGTCGACTGTAACACGGCGGCAGGGTCTCCAAAACCGGAAGTTTCTTCTACTCTTGAATGCTTTGAGGAGCCCGACGTGGCCAACAGCGTCCTTCCGGCAGAGCTCAACAGTGAAACTAGAGATCTTTACAATGGCTGCCTGGAGGCAAGCATTGCTGGCCGCAAGTACCACAGAGACGTCGAGTGCCAAGCTGGGATGCGAGTTCACCTGGTAAGGGAACCAGAAAATCCCATGGATACATACGCTGTGAAGGTAAACTTGACTGAATGGACGTGTTTCATGGCTGACAACAACATTGCGCCAGGTGCTTACGGCGGATGGGCTTTCTCTGGGACATATTCCAAAAGAGCTTTCGCGTTATTTGTCTCCTCTCATGGACAAAGGCGTGGTAGACGTTCAGGTAACTAATCTCTGGGGCGTTTTTCAATTGTTCACAAAGCTTTCAGGGATATGTCTCCGAGAGTACATCGGAAGCTGCACGCCTCAAGCTTGATTTGCGTGAGATCCAGAGTCGGACTATTGGAAGTCTCTCAGAAGAAAAAGTGCTGGCTGTCAAATGGAGCCGTCTGATGGATGCAGCTGACAAGGGACAAGACCACGGCTGTCGATACCAACAGAATTTTCTCTACATTCTCCAAGTGGTATTGGAACGGGATCTCCATCTCTTTACTCCAGACGAGATCGAACTTCTCGAGGCATTTCGTTCAATCTCGTCTGATGGACAGCGCCTTTTTGTAAGATTGGCTCAACGAAAGGGTAAGCTCGACGCCGTCGCACAAACTGTGACTCAAGGGAGACAGTGGTTTTTGCAGGGCCATGGTTCCGTCTTCAGAACATCTTCTATGAAGATATTGGTGACACAAATTCTGCAGTCCATGAGTTAGTCGGTACTCAATTTCTTTCATCGTGTACTTCATAATATGTTTGCTCCCTTGTAACAGAGAGACGCTACTTAGTTTTCGACGCGGACGTCAATTCGTCTGAGTTGCTTGAACATCTGACTGTACAAGAGCTCAAAGATTTGGCAGTGAACAGCAAAATCATGGTAGTTACTTCTAAGACTTTCTTCCTTGTTTTTATTTCTGTTCATGCTTACAGATCAAAAGTGCTACGCTAAGTTTGAAAAAGCTTCAGATGCATTGATTTCGCTGCATTTGTAAGTAGCAAGTGATCATTGGTTTTTTATACAAGCGTGAAATACTTGGCGGCAGTAATCTAACGGCTTTAATTCGTGAAGCAACCGGGCCATGCATTCGAATAGCCGAAACAGTTGACGTTCTACTTTGGCGTTTACAGGTCAGTTGACATCCTCTCCAAAGTGTTACACTGCTGATGCTGAGCAATTTATTTATTTTTATTCAGAGGCTGTTCTTTCTAAACGGTGAGCAGGAGTTCCATGTTTTTCTTCTTGTGGATATTGGAAGGATCAAGCATCCAAGCTATAGGTGCGCTAGAACAATGCCAGTCTTCGCTTCTCGAGAGGACTTTCTGGCGTATGAGCAGGTCCGTTCCTACTTTGTTATAAAATTTGTCTGACCGTCAAGTTTTCAGGCATTGCAATTGGCTCAGGTGGTTGACATGTCCCTGGAGGCTGGTAATTCTGAGGCTCTAAACTCCTCTTTTCGAAAAGCAAGGACTACTCTCGAATTGATCAATGCACACACCGAGAGCAAGCATCCATTTTTAGCACGATTTTCGGCTGCATGGGTGTATGCAACAATCTGTACTGTGGCTGCATCGTTTCTGGAGAAAGAACGCAGGTACGCTCTTTCACCAATGGCGGACAATACTTTTGAACTAAAACTGGCTCTTGACCAGATACGCTGAAGCTGTAAACCTCTTCAAGCAGCTCCTTAGCATGCAGTATTGTCCTGGACGGAGAGGATACTGGACTCTCCGGCTATCTATTGACTTGGAGCACTTACAGCGTTTAGAAGAGAGCCTGCTCGTTGCAGAAAACGGATTAAGCGATTTCAACGTCCGAGGAGGGGATCGTATCGCTTTGCAACGGAGGGTTCTCCGACTAGGAAAACCTCCTAGAAGGTGGAAAGTACCTCCATATGCAGCGCTTTTAAAGAAAAAACACAAGGTGGTACGTACTGTGTCACAGCAGCGGAGAGACGCGCACACGAGGAGGAAGAACTGTATATATATAACTGTATATGATTGTGTACATATACATAAAGCTACTGCCACGTGGGCATAACAACTGCCACATCATCTCTACCTCTAACACTCGTGGCTGAGACTTGGGCATAGCACTACGGGACATCATGTAGCGGGGTAAACTGGGAGAAGTACTCGCTTGAAGACCTTCAAACAATAACGGTCTGTATCGGAGGTCCAGGATTGTCGGCGATTTGCAAGCTTCTTGCAGAAGACCACAGTAACTGGACGGCTGGAATGCCTGATCTTCTAAGAGGCAAAGCTGGCGGAAGTCAAGGGTCCAGGGGATCGCTTGTCCGAGCAACAGGTGGCCTGGTTTCTTATTCTCTCGGACGCTAATATTCCAGTGGAACTTTGCAAGGTCTCCAAGACGATGAATGATCGATCCTAGATCGGGGCCCGAGACGGCTGTGCAGGCCTCTGCAACTTGCTCCGCCTTGCTTGAAGTCATAAGAACCGGTAAGCAACTCCGCCATTCCATCCTGCTGTGGACTGCGAAGAATCCATTGCACGCTACACACAGCCAGTTCCAAGTCCTCAGTGTCACCGTCTCAAGAGCTCTTCGATCGGGACCGCGAGGTGATAGAATCACCACCGTCATCTTAGAGATCCTCTTGGCGGAGGATCAGGAAATACGAGTTCCAAAGAGATGAATCACGAGGGATTCCATGCACCTTAAAGAACATCCCCCGCGACTCTGATGAGTATCCTATTGAACAATGCAGTTGCTTGCTCCATATCCCCATTGTGGGCATGGAGTCCGTTGGGAGAACACGTAGAGACTAACCCATCATCGCACTGGGGCATCCCAAAGAAGATTTGGCTGGCGTGATGCATGTCTCGGCCGAAGAGCTCGTTGCGGCATTTGCCTCGTCATGATGCCCAATCGGGGCATATGTGCTCACTATTGTCGTCCAGGTCACCACGTCCTGGCTTTCCTCGCATCAGCAACGCGATTTTCTTCGCATAGAACCCGTAATAGGATGTTCCGAGAAGTGGAAAACCTTGATCGCCTCGTCAAGATGCCCAAAGTGGGCATATGTGATAGCAGAATGTGCATTGCCGGTACTTGCTCGCCAGGATGAGCCCAACACGGGAGGATTCGAGTGCAGGGCTCTGGGTCCCAAGCTCTATCTCCTTGCAAATCGGTGAGCGTCTTCGATGCACGCAAGAATCGATGGAGCTTCGCAGCACCAATGCTGCGTTCTCCACCGCAGGAAACGAAATCTTTTCACAACCAGGTGATCTTGAGCTCGCCCGGTGGTGCCGGAGAGACGCTTGTTTTCCAAGATCTTTCCTGGGAAGCGGCGACTGGCCGGCGCCACTACTTTGTGCACCTATGGAACGACATGGCCGAATCATTGTATTGGAGGCAAGAAGTTATGGGAGGAGCTGCAGCTGACGACCGCTTCTTCCACCGATCACAAGTTTTTCTTCCGCGCTGTGAGCTGCCAGAAGAACATCTGGGCAGTCTCGGCGAATTGCAAGGCTGTGACGTTGATCTGGCTTGGAAGCCAAGCATCCGGCGTCAATCCCATAAGCTTCGCCGTTCAGATTCTTCGAGCTTAGATGAGCTACTAGCTAAAGATGAATAAGTTATCTACAAGGATGTCGTGTTTGCAGATGAAAAGTTCTATGAAATGGTTTTTTTCTGTGTGCGTACGGTTGAGGTCTATTGGGAGAGCGAGGAGGAAGCGGCCGGTGGCATTACAATGCTCCAGGGCCGCGAGAGCTTGATTCGGGTTGTAGGGAAGCGGCAACGCAGTGTGTCACTCCAGGACGCTCCGCCAGCTCAGGTGAGTGATCGAGCTTGTAATCGTTTTCTTGCAGTGCTGTGATGTCAAACAGCTTAGCTTGTTGTGACTGCCCTGTGTGTGGGAAGCAAACACGGGAATGAACTTCTTGTCAGGTGCCATCTTGGTTTGGAGTTTGCTCTGTTTTGATTCAAGCAGGTTGATCGCTGGTTTGTCTTGTCCAGATACTTGCCTGCCAAGTGGGAAGAAAAACTCGTTCCAGATGTCGTCCAGACACACTTCAGGTTCTTGTTTCATTTTCCTGTGGACTTCTTCTGCTCTTCTTGTTTGCGCGTTGCAAGAGGCTCTTTGTGTTGAAAAAACCTTGTTTTGTGTTATTTCGCAGAGACTGCACCATTGGACTTGTGCATGGATTTCTTTCTATCCAGTCCGAAGCTCGCTTATTGAATCTCCTTTTCAAGCCATATGCGATGGTGGAGCTAGGCAACTCGTCGTGGAAGCACTCTGGGAGGGTTAATTGGGAGAATGAAGACCTCCAAACAATTACGGGATTGTTAGCGATTCATATGTTTCTTGCAGAAGACTGAGGAGAAAGGGGCAAAGCTGGTCGAAGCCAAGGGTCCGGGAGATTGCTTGTCCGATCTTATTCTCTTGGATGCCAGGCTGGCATGCTATGCATGAGCTCCTCAGCCTCCTCCAGCCCTGCAGACTTGGTGAGAACGTCCACAAGGCAATGCTTGAGATAGACTCACTCACTTGTAGCGCTATGCCTCATCGGAACATTGCTCGAAGGATTGCATTCCAAGGAATCTCGAGGGATTCCATGCATGTTAAAGATATCTGGCGCTTCTCTCGTCCTTGATGAGTATCCTACCAAACAATGCAGTCCTTGCTCCATATCCCCATTGTGGGCATCGCGGCGTTGGTAGAACACGTAGAGACTAAACCGTCATCGCATTGGGGCATCCTAAAGAAGACCTGGCTGTCGTGATGCATGTCTCGCCCCCGAAGAGGCAGTGATCATCATAGCGACTACGGAATCACATAAGAATCCCCGGCAAGCGACAAATTCCTCGCAGCCAGCGACGCCAAGGAAAAAGAAACGTTGCCTCGTCAAGATGCCCAACCGGGGCATCTGCTCTGCGTATAAAGGGCTGCTTGGATCTGGAGTTAGGGCAAATAGAGCTGGGCTATGGCGACGACAATCATCCCCGGCCTGGACAGCGATGCCGCTTACCAGTGCCTCCTGCGAGTGTCCCTCTCATCTCATGGGCAGATGCGCAAGGTGAGCCGAGCGTGGAGGGATCTCGTCTCCAGCGCCAAGTTCTATGATGATCGCGCTGCGCAGGGGTTGGACGAGGAATGGCTTGTCGCCACGGTGATCCTCAGGCAAGAGAACGAGCTTTTGATCATGGCGTTCAATCCCAGTAGCTCCAAGAAAGCGTGGATGGTTCTTCCTCCTCCACCGCGGGGCTTCTACGCCACTGGGGGATTCGATTGCAGGGCCCTCGGCAGCAAGCTCTATCTTCTCGGATTAGGCCAGGGGAAATCACTGAGCGTCTTCGATTCACACACGAATCGATGGACCGCCGCAGCGCCAATGCTGTGTCCTCGATTCTTCTTTGCGTCCGCGGCTATGGAGGGTCAGCTCTACGTCGTTGGTGGCAACCGTGAGCGGCAGGAACAGGACGCTGAGACATACAATCCGCTGGAGGACCGATGGTATCCCCTCCCGCCATTGCCACCGCATGGGACCATGGCCTTTCGCAACGCTCTTGTCGTGGATGGTAACAAGATGGTTATCTTGCGTGCTGGTAATGGAGAGACGCTTGTTTTCTCAGCACAAGATCATTCCTGGGAAGTGGCGGACATGACTAGATTGCGCGGGTGCCGCTGTATTGTGCATGCCAACCGGATCTACGATGCCAACACGTTGCAGAGATATGACAGTGGCAACAACTCATGGGAGGCACTCCATCTGACAAATGCTTCTTCCAGCGATAGCAAGTCTGTGTTCCGTGGTGTGAGCTGCCAGAAGAACATCTGGGCAGTCAAGGAGGATTGCAAGGTCGTGAAAGTGATCCAAGTTCCCAACAATGGCAGCCTGGAAGCCAAGGTGATGGCAGTTTATGAGCTCAGTGTGCCTTTCAGCAATTTACATCCAATATTTGACCTTGAAGTTCTTCGAGCTTGATGGATCCTGGATCAGTTATTATCTAAAGAAAAGTTTCTTACATGGATTTCCATTTTGTAAAAAGATAGTTTTATTTCATTCCCTTTATGATGTTCTTTGCTTCACACAACATTATGAGATATCAATATTAAAAGCTTGTAGGGAGAACATTGTGTTTATGTCATTCTAAGATGCTAATGTGAATTATTTTTTTGGTGGATTTTGTTTGTTAGAGTGTTTAAAAGGAGGCTTTAGCTTGTGAGCTCTATTGGAGGGGATAGTCCAAAATTGAGTTAAGCTCAAAAGTTAAGTTCCACTCAGTTCAAATCAATGCAAATGAACATAGTTAATTTATAAAGAAATTTCATGTTAGAAAAATGTTATCCTTTGTGAACTTAAAATTCATGAATTTAATTCTTAATGGTTTGGAGAAAACTTTTTTTGATATTATTATGGAGAAAAAAAAGTATTTTCTAATATGAGTTATACAATAAAATAATGATTGAGTAGTTTCTAGAATTAAAAGTTAGTCTAAACCCATATAATTATTATTTTCTTCATTTATAATATTCTTGTTAAAATGAGCTATTTTCAGCTCAAATAAAAATGGGAATATTGAAGTTTGTTATAAACTTGAAAATTTTTATTGTATATTTCAATATTTTAACATTTTATGGAAGAGTCTTATTCACAACTTTCGTAAGTCCTATTCCTAACTTAAGGACATGTTAACCTTGTGAATGGCATCCATACTATTTAATCTTTGCACTTGGCCCAAATGTTTCACATGTCCGATCCCATGATAGACACCCTAAAAGTACTACCAATATCTCAATTTGTTATACTAAAGTTATGTTTATTTACCTTTGTCTTATTTGTAATCCTAAACCACCTATGCCATAATCTCATTTTTCAAAGATTAATCCATCTGTCCATGAGTGGGCATTCTATAACCACACCTTTGCATCCTTAAGACTAAAGACATAATAAACACCCTTCCCTAATATCCTTTCTTTAATCCTTATTAAGTCTCTTTCTGTTCATGGCCAAATCAAAGCCCGAAGCCCTAACCACTAAGTTCTATTAACCTCTAGGACTTCTTTGCCACATGACTATATCTTT